AGCTGCAGCGCCGGGGCGCGGCACCAGCGCCGGGAGAGCCGGGACGGGGCGAGCCGGGACGGGGAGAACCGGGACAGGGAGAGCCAGGCCCGGGAGAGCCGGGACAGGGAGAGCCAGGCCCGGGAGAGCCGGGACAGGGAGAGCCAGGCCCGGGAGAGCCAGGGCAGGTCCCACGGCGAGGCCCCGCACAGGCGGGCGCTGCGGGCCGGGCGGGGCAGCCGCATCAGCTCCAGCTCCAGGATCCCTGCGGGAAAGGCCAGGGGACAGCTCTGTCACCCAGGGGACAGCTCTGTCACCCGGGGGACAGCTCTGTCACCCAGGGGACATCCCTGTCACCAGTGGGTGCTTCTTATCACCAATGGGTGCTTCTTATCACCAATGGGTGCTCCTTATCACCAATGGGTGCTCCCTGACACTGCTGGGAGCTCCTTGTCACCACTGGGAGCTCTTTATCACCACTGGGAGCTCCTTGTCACCCATGGCCGCTCCCTGTCCCCTGTCCCCTGTCCCCTGTCCCCTGTCCCCTGTCCCTGCAGTGTCCCCCCGGCGGTGCCTCTCACCCAGCAGATCGTCCGCCTTGAACTTGTCATTGTCCCACACCTGCAGGATGAGTTTGGGCGGCACCTTCAGCAGCGTCTCGTCCAAACTCCACACGTGCTCCTGCCCGGGGACACGGCAAGGTCGCGCGTGTCCCCGGGCCGTGGCCTCAGACCGTGTCCCCTCGCTGTCCCCGCTCTGTCCCCGCGCTGTCCCCGCTCTGTCCCCGCTCTGTCCCCGCTCTGTCCCCGCTCTGTCCCCGCGCTGTCCCCGCTCTGTCCCCGCTCTGTCCCCGCTCTATCCCCGTTCTGTCCCCGCTCTGTCCCCGCTCTGTCCCGCACCTTGCGGCGGATGGCGCAGAGCTTCTCTGCCGCCAGGAACTCGAAGGGGAACACGAAGCGCCAGTTGAAGGCGCCGCTGCCGTCCAGGGAGCGGTAGTGGATGTCGGTGTGCTGCCGCTGCTCGGGGAGCCCGTCCAGCCACCTGCGGGGACAGCGCTGTCACCGCTGTGCCACCCCCAGGGGACAGCGCTGCCACCTCTGTGGATGGGGACACCCTGAAGTGACAAGGGACCCAGGGGATGGGGACACCCCGGGGTGACAGGGACCTGCCAGGGGCTCTGGCATGAGCAGGACACGTGCTGGGGGTGGCAGGGGACACGACGGGGACACACCCGGACACGTAGATGTCACTCATGCGCTGGCCCAGCAGGTTGATGTCCCCAAGGTCCGTGTCCCGCACGTTCCACACCACGCAGCGCAGCTCGTACCTCGGGAGGGGACAGCGACGTGTCACCTCCCGGGGCGGCGCTGTCCCCACGGGGGTGGCCCTGTCCCCACGGGGGTGGCCCTGTCCCCACGGGGGTGGCCCTGTCACTCACTCACCCCTCGGCCTTGCGGGGGTCGATGTTCACGGGGGGCCCGGGGGGGCCGAGGCTGGCGGGGAAAATGTCCACCCACATCTGCACCTTGCCCTGGGGACATCGGGACGGGCTGGCACCGGCCCCGGTGTCCCCCGGTGTCCCCCGGTGTCCCCCGGTGTCCCCCGGTGTCCCCCGGTGTCCCCGTCACCTGCTCCAGCCCGGGCCGGGCGCGGCTCCGCAGCCCGCGGGTCTCCAGGTGCTCCGGGACGAGCTCGCACAGGTTCAGCACGTGCAGGGCCAGGCGCTCCCGGGGGGACCCCGAGTGTCGCATCGGGGGGTGG